GGACACCCAAGGATGGGGACACCCAAGGATGGGGACACCCAGGACAGGGACACCCAAGGATGGGGACATCCAAGGACAGGGACACCCAAGGATGGGGACACCCAAGGATGGGACACCCAAGGACAGGGACACCCAAGGACGGGGACACCCAAGGATGGGGACACCCAAGGATAGGGATACCCAGGACAGGGATACCCAAGGATGGGGACACCCAGGACAGGGACACCCTTGAGTACAAAGACACCCAAAGGCGTGGACACCCAAGGATGGGGACACCCAAGGATGGGGACACCCCTGAGGACAGAGGAACCCAAGGGCAGGGACACCCAAGGGCGGGGACACCCAAGGACGGGGACATCCCTGAGGATGGGGACACCCAAGGATGGGGACATCCAAGGATGGGGACATCCAAGGACGGGGACACCCAGAGGCAGAGTGACCCAAGGACAGGGCCACCCAAGGACGGGGACACCCAAGGATGGGGACACCCAGGACAGGGACACCCCGGATAGGGACACCCAAGGATGGGGACACCCAAGGATGGGGACCCCCCGGCCAGGGACACCCAAGGATGGGGACACCCCAGGACGGGGACACCCCTGAGTACAGAGACACCCAAAGGCGTGGACACTCAAGGATGGGGACACCCAAGGATGAGACACTCCTGAGGATGGGGACACCCAAGGACGGGGACATCCAAAAATGGGGACACCCCATGATGGGGACACCCCTGAGGACAGAGGAACCCAAGGACAGGGCCACCCAAGGGCGGGGACACCCAAGGACGGGGACACCCAAGGATGGGGACACCCAAGAACGGGGACATCCAAGGACAGGGACATCCAAGGATGGGGACACCCAAGGACAGGGACACCCAAGGGCAGAGTGACCCAAGGACAGGGCCACCCAAGGACGGGGCCACCCAAGGACGGGGCCACCCAAGGACGGGCACCCCGCTGAGGACAGGGAGAGCCAAGGGCTGGGCCCCGGGCGCCGTGCCCACCTCCTGGATGATGCTGTCGGAGGCCGACTGCACCTTGGGCTTCTTGGCCGGGGAGGCCATGGGCTCCACCTGCGCCTTGAAGGTCACGAGCTGCAGCTCGTAGTCCTGCGGGAGACGCCGTGAGCGGGAGCGCTTCCGAGCGCCGCTCCCGCGGAGCACCCACGGCGCGCTGGGAGC